CTTTCCCTATTTTCAGAGGGACTTGCAGCCAGAGAGACAGCTTTGGTTTCAACCTCTCTCAATTCTTATCACAAAATAGCTTTATAGCATAATCTGTGTACAGTGTATGGAAATAAACACAAAGGATGTAAAGAACAGCAAAAACAAGCAGGATCCCTATGATTTCAAGACATTTATGGTAAATAGGTTCAACATGTGTAAACTTTTAGGGACTTCCCTGGTGGTCCAGTGGGTAAGACTCCAAGCTCCCAAGGCAGAGGACCCAGTTTCGATCCCTGGTCGGGGAACTAGATCCCACATGCATGCCACAACTAAGGAGCCCACATGCCACAACTAAAAAGATCTTGCATGCTGCAACTAAAGATCCCGTGTGCCACAACTAAGACCTGGCATGGCTTAAATAAATAAATATATTTTTTAAATGTGTAAACTTTTCTCATAGTGTTCTTTTGGAGAGCTCATCTTACAAATGGACAAAAGTGGGAAGTGAACTCTTTAATGTAATAGCAGAAAGCTCCAGGAGGACCAGGAACATCTGATGGACTCTCTAATGTTTTGATGCATTATATTCTACTCAACTCCCACCACAATGAAAGCAATTTCCTTCAGGCACTATGACAGTCCCAGTAGGAAAGGAGGCCATTTTGGAGCTACCAAGTTCATCTTAAAGCAGGAGTATCATCTTTCTCCCATTCCTTGATGGATCCACCACTAATACTAGAAAACAACTGTGGTTTAGCAGAGATGATCAATCCTCATTGCTTCCTTCCTTGATAAGAGTCCCACTTCATACAAATTAGACCCTGTCTTCTTTGAAAAACTATGGCCTCCTCTCATTTAACCCCTGAGAACAGTGACTGTGAACTAGGTATAAGAAAGTTTTCCAAGTACGAGTCTCCATTCAGACCAGATGGATGGTTAATGCACTGAACAGAAGAGGCAAATGCTGGTGCTGAGGGCCCCCAGGTTAGGTGGCCTCCAGCGGATCACGCGAAATACAAAACAAATATTCAATTCAATACAACACATGGACGACAACAGTCTATCCAAGTTTCCTTTATAAGAACTCTCTGGAAAAGACAACAGTCATGTACAAATCTAAGTCTGCTGAGCACAAAGAAAGCATTCACTGGGAGGGATACCAAACATGCCAGATACTTCCCTGGGTACTGTTGCCCTGCAGTGTGTCAGCTGTGTGTGGTTAGTGTTAGCAATGCAACAACCACCATCCAAAACACCTGAACAAGCCAAGAATTCATGATAACCATGTGCAGAACTGATCAAAACACTGTCCTCAGTGAAAATGGCACTTTCCCTTTTCACTTTGATGAAAATCTATCGATATATGCATCAGAAAGAGATTTTAGTTTATTCTGGGTTAAAATTGTATTTGACCAGCAAATGGTGCCATCTCATAGAGCACTGATCCAAAGGAAATGAGATTTCCATGCATGTCCATACACTGAGTTATGGTAAAGAAAGTTACAAGAAACCACTACTTTAGGGAAAAATACTGTCAAAATAATGCAGTTTTGCTACAGTGGAGCTTTCTATTCACTGGGTACATTGTCCTTATACCCCCTCCCCCCGCCTCAGGGGAGTATTCCCTCATGCACGGAGCATTTCTATTTCGCTCACCACCGTGGTTTCAAGAATATAGTTTGGGTTGTGGTGTTTGCGGCACATTAATTAATAACAGACATCGATTTGAGGGATTTCTCTAGGACAAAGGCAAATACCAACTTTTAAAGATGGAGCTGATGTTGGTGGTCGGGTCCATCGGTAGTGCACGAGAGGATGGTTCCCTGTACCCTGGCAACTTTGGGGGTGACATTTATTTAAAAACCCCACTGAGGCTGTTTTGAAAGAATCCAAGGTTATTGTGGGTATAGAGATTGGTACCACCTTTTGAAAAGCAATTTGGCAAGATGAATTAAAATCTTAAAAAGGTGATATACCTTTGCCCCAGTAACTCTACTTATAGAAATCTCAAAGGAAAACCTCAGATGTGGACAAAGATGTTTCTCACGGTATTTGCTTAAAAAGTAAAGATTATAAACACTAACTATTAAGCGCTAACATTAAGTACGAATAAGTACAGTGCTAATAAGCATGTTAGCATCATATTGCAGTTCAGGAAGGTGTGGGGCTTCTCTGGCTGGCTAGCTCCACCTGGAGTTCCCACAGCACTCAATCTCAACCTGCCACAGCTGAACATCTCAGCTCCCAAACCTGGCCCCGCCTCCTGTATTTCCTGTATGGCTGAAAGGCACCACCAAGTCCCCAGTCCAGGAATCATTACT